TCAAATCTATCAGTATCTAAAAAAAAATGTTTAATAAAAAAAATTCCCGTATTATCAGATGTTAACTTTACTCAATAAATATTAATCAACATTATGTCGATTTATTATTATTTTCCAATTTATTTCGTGAATAATGAGCAATTCATTCAGTTTACATATACACGTGGCAAGATAATTAAATAATGTATCCCATGTCTATTATTCTGAACAAGTGATTGATACAGTTTTGCTTGTCCATTGTTTTATTTCATACAATATCTCTCTTAATGTTAAAGAATTTAGGACATTGATATGACCCTGTTGTGATTTATGATTGATCAATTTTAATGTCATAATAATATATTATTTCACCATATCACTTCAACTAATTTGTCGTCAATATTAAATTTTAAAATGACAAGTATACTCTTACATAAATACATAATATTGATTTCGTGTCATTTTAGTTTTTTTTATTTTAGTCATTTATTAACTGACAGAAATTATCTTAACTTTATTTAGTACTCCGCATCTATCATTCATATTATATGTTGTGATATTAGTTAGGATACCGAGTGAATGGAGTATAGTGAATCTATAATACTAAATAAAATAAAACATATTTCATCAGAAATAGAAACATGTATACAAAGTATTACATACTAGTTTGAGGACAAAAGCTCATTTTAACTATGTTTATGAATTCGATTCGTCATATTTAAGTTTAATAACTCTTTAATTTAGTATTCAATAATATATTAATTACTAATAAATTTGTTTCAAACAGTATGAATACAAATTAATTACTAAACATATTAAATACGTTATCGGTACAATCTTAGTAATGTGCTGTAGAAAAAGTAATATATAAAACGGTAATTTGAATGTTCAACCTACTTTCAAAATAAATAACATTTTATATTATATATGTGGCTATTATTTTAATATTAGAAATAATATTTGAATTCATTTCCATGTTCATAGATTGATTTAGATTGATTGCCATCAGAATTAATTTAGTCGTTTGTCAATAGCAGAATATACTGTGTGATATTGTGATTTAATCGTTCTTGATTTAGGGGTTGAAATACTAGAATTAGAAGGTAGAACTGAAACTTTGAACCATGAAACCTAAATCTCTACTCTATTAAATTTGTATTAAGACCAAAACAGACATCGAAACCGTACTCTAGTAGACAGAAAGAACTTTTTAAGCTAATCATAGGTTATTTTTAGTTTCGATATTTAATATTATGTTTACAAAATAATAATAGTTCAGTTGTTTTTGTTTGAAATTACTTTCAAATGATAAATATTACACGATTTCAATATGAACAACTGATGCTAAAATAAATAATATTTATAAGGGTATAATGGTTTTACATCCTATAAATATTATAATATGTGAGGTTTATAAATTCAAGTTTAATGTTGAGTGTCTATAAAATAATATTTTAAATTTTGCATTAAACATTGCATACATAATTTTACATTAATATTTATTTTCTGAATCTTAATAAGGAAAATTAGAAATATTTGATTATTATTTATAATTTCCAAAATCTATATGTTATAATTATAAATGTTCTAGTCACTATATAATATGTCTAGTTTTAAATTTATGTTTTTAAACTGTACTCAAGGATTTAATTTTCAAATTTGATACAATTAATATAAGTTTTTTTAGGAGGCGGCATACCTATCAAAATAAAACAACGATGGGTACCTATAATCTAAATATATAGGCAATATGTTTAGTCGTATACTCTTATTTGACCCGCACCTAAAATAACAATTGTTTATCTAACAGTTAAGTGTAAGCTGAATAATACTGCATGATATGTAGTCTCCGCGCCGATGATATTATATTATAATAGTTACCTTAGACAAAAATAATGACAATCATTATGTAATTGCTTTGAGTTCACCGTCACGGCATCACTCGCAGTATAATGTATTAAATATAAACAATAAACATATTATCTTTACATTATTATACAGTGCATACTGCATAGGTACCGCATGACTATATATGCCTGCCGTTTTTACCTAACTACATTATTACTTAATGAACGGCAAAAGTGTTGTGGCGTGCTCTCAGGTGGCTGTGGCGATGCGGGGGGAATCTTCATTAGACCGATTGTTGAATGGAACCACCGTTTGGAGGCTGCAACAATATGTACATAATAATATTATTATGATATTTCGATAACGTGATAATATCATTATCATATTTATTAGTATATATTATCATTTATCATACAAAACTTTGAACCGAGAAAGCGCGTACGACTCGCTGCGTGTGTGCGTGCAGAGCATTGAGTATATTATATAATGCGCTCGAAGGATATGCACTACGCGTATATACGTTCGACGGGGTGCAGCGGTGGAGTATAATATATATTTACTGTTGCGGCAACAGCGACGACGCACACCAATTAGTGTCCCTTAAATCAAATAATAGATTTATATATATACTTACACACATTTTACACCGTTTGCGGTGTCTATTCTGGTTCCGTAATCGTAAGTTTGGCAGTTTGCACACAAAAGTTAACAAGGCAACCGGCGGCGGCGGCGGCGGCGCCGCCCTTTATAAGCGAACAAGACGCAATCGCATATAATCTTTCCCCCTGTGCCCCGTCCCACTTATTCGTACCCCCCTCTTTTCCCGGTCCGATCAATCTCTCTCGCTCACTCTTTCAATCCTTCTCACCCCGCTAGCTATCCCTCTCACAATCCCTCTCTCTCTCTCCCACTAACTCTCGTTATTTCGTCTCTCATCCGACAAACGTTCTCCTCCCTTTTGCAAACACACGCACGCACGCACAAATGCACACACACACGCACACAAGCGCACATACACCATGGCCTTTATATATGCGAGTGTACGACATAATAAAACCAGCAGGTCGTACTGCCGTCACCATGGTTACCAGAAACGAACCATAGCTTTTTGCCATCGAGTGCGTGTGCGTATACGTGTGTGTGTGTGTGTGTGTGTGTGTGTGTGTGTGTGTGTGTGTACACACCGCGACCGTGTCATGCAGTGCACACACACCCGCGCGCAAACGTGTATACACCATTTTTTTATTATTATTATTATTATTTTTTTTTTTATCGCTCTTCCCCAATGGAAAAAAGCGAAAAAGTTGTTTTTATTATTTATTTTTTAAACATCCTCACTATACACCTTATATACATTATATTCCCAGCCCGTCGGCACTTGATCGCTGCACGAAAACAGTATAACTAAGTAGTACCTATAATATTCCCTATAAAAAATTTAATTATACTCTTAATAAATATAATCGTAGCGAAATTCCTAATTTGTATTGATAATAATTATTAATTAAGATAATGGTATTTGATTCTTGGATAAAATATTAGGTACCTGTATATTATTCTACTCTATATCTCTATATAAAAAATAGGTTATTATTTAGGTATCCTGTAGATGTTTTCAAACTTTTTTTGGTTACCACGGAGTAGTCACGTACCGGTGTATCATCAACAACTTTTTACTATATTATGCTTACTAAATGCATAACTATTCAAAATGATAAATCTGTTAAATATTATAATGATATTTAATACATCTGTATTTTACCATTTTTCCCGTGGGCATGCCACCACAGTATTTTGGAACTTCTCCTCTATATTAATATTATATTATATTAAATACGGGTAGGAATACCTACGTTGTGGGACGTATACTATATATATATATATAATACATTTGCAGCTTGAAAATTTCAAGAAGTTTTTTTGAAAATATTTCATTTCTCAAACTACATCCAAACGTTGATTTAAATTTTAAGGTTATTTAATTAATAATACAAAATCTATTTTTCAAAATTTATAGGGTAGCTAAGGAACTTATACGAGGTAACTATACATATGATGTAGTTTTATTAAAAGTAAAGTTAAATAAATTGTCGAAATACCTATACCTAAAAATATATATCAAATTTTATATTATTTGAACTATTATTATTCATTAAATACTCGTATACATATAGTTATACATTTAGTTTTATTGTTAGTGGCTTGTTTATAAAACTATTTTATTAAATATCTAATAACTAATAAGTATATATATTATATAAAGGTATAGATTTACTAGTTCGATATATTTTGTACTATAAATTGTTATTGTAAGTATATACAGTATAATCATTATACAATATATTTATGTATACCAAAAATTATACTATAATGTGCCTATGTATATTATGTTTATAGAGGTAGGGGTATGCAACAAACGCAAGTCGTTTATTGTGTAAGCCACGAGATGTCAAGAATATAATTTGTTTAAGTAAACAATAAAGCGCATATTATGAAGTGGCACTTGAAAAAACAGTACCCAATTAGTGCGAAAGTACATGTAAGATTGTGTAATATTGTTTTTTTTTTGCGAAACAAGTAACAATAAATAAATATCATACAAATGTAAATTAGAGGGTTATTTGAACGAAAAATGTTGTTTACGAAATATATTTTACTGACCATTTTCACTTTACTATCTCCACTTAAGTATTAGACATTTTTATTTGTATAGACAATGTTCAAACTACATTCTTATTCTGAATATTTAAAAGTGTCTTTATGTGCTAATGCTAATGCAGCAGCGTATCTATGAGTAAAATGCCTATAGTAAAACTTATAAAAATGATATTGTTACTATACATTAAAATGATTAGTCAATCAGTTATTCTGGAATATCAGAAAAATATTATCACGTACCTACGAAATAATATTAATAATAATATATAATGCACCTTTATAATTGAATAAAATATAGGTATGTGTGTCTAATTTAGTGAACGTTTTCATTTCTCTAGGAATTTATTACAAAAATATATACTATTTGTAATCAATGGTAACAAAAATAATATGACGTACTTACTTTTAATTGAGGACTCTCTAAAATTATTTACCATCAATTATTATTAAACATTACTCAATTCATCGTGAAAATATGTTTTATTTTATTTTGAATAATAATATTTTTGTTTCAGGATTAAGTCATTTAAACCATCAAGAATCGGGCAAGGACTACAGTAATGAAGCCATGACAACATCATTTGGTTCCAACAAGAAGAAGAAAAAAAGAAGGCACAGGCAAGCATTTAAATAAAAATCCCCCACGCTTTCAATGATAATATCAGTGGTTATTGAATGAGACATTTGATATTATTATATTCGTAAATTATAATCCTAAATATTTGATCAATAAAAAAATTCCAAACAATGGCTTACCAGAAATATTTATAGGTTCCCCGTTAATCTGTATTAGTTATAAACATCTATAACTTTTAAAAATATTTATATAGGACAATATTTACCAGTTACCAATTAGAAGAATTAGAAAAAGCTTTCAAAGATGCTCATTACCCGGACGTCTATGCAAGAGAAATGTTATCCTTAAAAACAGATTTGCCCGAAGATCGAATACAGGTACTTACCTTTGATTAATAATATATTCAACTATAATTTCAACAATATAACATTTTTATAAGTGGTACAATTATCGTAGCCTATATAATATATAAGTAGGTACGTATTTCAATTTTCCAAAGTATTTAGTATAGGTTAAATAAGTTTACGGAACCCGTAGCGTTTATACAAAATGATGCACCAAGCACGTTAATTCTGTTTTATTTTTTATATTGTAGTTATTCAAAATCTGATCTTTGTGATTTTTAAACATACCTACTTAAACATTATAACGTTAAATTTTTGTGACTTTTTTACTCCTTAAAAAGTGTTCTGTGGAGAAACGAATTTATGTTTTCCAAATGAAAACGGCCCTTTTCTATTGTAAATTATTTAGCGGATATTTTTTCTGAAAATGTTATTGTATCACAATCAAAATCCGAACGAGTAGTTTTTGAGTTATTTAATTTTCTGTTCTAAAATTAACTTACAGATTCATGATAATGGTCTATGTCGACTTGAAAATGTTCGTGATTGATATTAATCGACCAATATTTAAAATGTATAAAATTAGTCTAAGTATAAGACGTAATTATAATTCTAGTTCCGATATTACATCTATTTTATTCTTTTTAAAACCATCATTTAATATAGTGTATACAGGCATTATTATACAAATGTTCAACGTTTTATATATTTATTTATAATATACACTATAAATAACATGGTTTTGATATATTTGGGAAATTATTGTCAATATTATATAGTGTCCTATCTATTTCACACTATTTTTACTTATAGCTGTATGATAAATGTACAATACAACTTATGAAAACAATAAATTATACCATACATTTATGAAATTTAAACTAACAATATTTAGAGCAGTAATTGTTACATAATACTCGTAGGTGCATTTTACGTAATATTATGTACCTACAGTGTATTTAAAAAAAAATTTGAATTTATAGGTCAAACCGAAAAATCATTTATAGAACTTAATTTAAACCGCAGTTTAATAATGAAAATAACTTTACAATTTATTATGCAATAAAAAATATAGGTACATCTAGTACATATAAAATAAAAATACGGCGTGTGACTATTTACACCTGCAAAACGTGAAATCCTATATTACGAACTTTAATCTGTCAATATACAATATAATTTTATATAGATAAATTTAAATGTAATATATTATATTCAACAACTATTTATCAGATAATTTGATCAAGAAAAGTTTATTTATTATCTTTTGACTATGGCAGGTCCACATGATGACACTTAGTAATATTGCATTTACCTATGTACATTGATTGTATTTTGATCAATAAAATTAAAATGTATACAATTAGTGTTGTAGTGTTAATTTACATTAGAAATCATGTTTATAATGACTCGTTTCTAATGTAAATTTGGGTATTGTGTCTTCAATTTCTGTAAAAGTACATACATATATTATAAGTATATATTTATACTGAGATATCGGAGCCGGAACATAACATGTATATTATATCCATTTTTAATCCTCTTTTTATTTCTATAAAATAATAATATGTAGATATTATATTTATGAGGTGAATGTCTATAACACATAACTATTTACACTCAGTATATAATCTTAATTTATTTTTGTATCGGATTAAGAGGTAAATTAAGTTCCATAGATTTTATCTATTTATTATTTGAGCAATATCACTTATAGTACCTATGCGATACGTATGTATATTACCGGAATCACCAAACCTCCCATTGAATTGATATATAATATTCAATTTGACTTGTATTTTATAAATTGTTGTTTCAAATTTTAATAGAATACTTACGCAGTCATATTATTTTATGGTGCTTATTTATCTAATAGTTTAATATTTATACTATATTATAACTGTTTTAAAGATATAGAGTGATGGTATAGTGGTAGTGCGTGGAATAAATAATGATTACAGATATCATTTTAATTAAGAAGTATTATTGAATAAATTATCATTTTTCATCTCAACAATTATATTTTTAAATATTTTTTATTGATGCATAGTTTGTATTGTGAATTGTAATAGGATGTTTATACCATTTCTTGATAATGTATAATTAGTTTGTAGTCAATATTAGAAACCACTAAACTGCGATTTCTACTGCGCATCATAAAACAAATTGCTGGTTAGTCTACACTTTAAATAACAAAAATATATTATAGGTGTGTACAAATTATAAATGCATGTTTAATCAGTATTCTTCGTCAATTCGGATTAGTTCTATTTATTTTTCTGCCTTGGAAACATAATATTATTGCGACTTGTCTAGCTGATAATCGGGTAGATAGGTACTATAGCTTCAAATAGATCAGTTTTCCCAATTCAGATTTCTAGATCCGCATTTGCGCGATATATAATATATATTACAAATAACTATACACAATACCAACTAACAGAATATTATGTGTATCGCAATATCATATCGTACAATATTATAAACCTTTACACATAAAACATAATATTAGTGTATACACCACAATATTTGCGTGCACACAAGAGTGGTGGTGTGTAGATGGTATATCGCATGTAATAATATATTATAATATGTATGAAATGTAATTGCGACGACTTAAGTGCACCGAATACATAATATATACTTCCGTTTGAGGTGTACATGTGTATACTGAATACAGGTATGTGCGCGTGCACTTAATAATAATTATAATATAATGGTATACACAATACCGCGGGGTGTGAAGGAAATTGAAAATATTTATTTAACCGAGTGAATGGTTTTGGAGCACAGCCATTGGACAAGTGGCCAATTAACGCGCAGGGCGGCCGAGGCGGAGTCTACGCGCCGCGGTGGCCGTCCGGGCGGCGCGAACCCATTAGACGGGAAACACGAAACAACTGGCGAACGACGCGTAAATTTAGAAACGCGCGCCTAGCAATTATATACATTGCTATTATATACATTATGTACCATACTATTACCACTGTTACCGCTACCGCGTTCACTGCTGCAATATCGCAGTCTATACACACACCGAACATGCACCGCCGTCGGCTCGGTTTTTTTTTTTCTTTAAAGGGGAGGTCTTTGCAGCACCAGCTGTTGGTGTAGTATACGCGCTGTAGTCGTACCTATATAATAGTTGAAAACGACTATTGAACTATGAATGCATATATAATATACGTTTGAAATGTAAAATTATTGACTGTATCGGATAAGTCAACCCTGCAACGGATGCAACTGTATGTGTATAATAATATTGTGTATAAACTAAACGCGTTGTATTATACGCGTTATATTATACTTCCAAGTTATAACAAATATTTATGTATACGGTATGGTGCTTGCTACGACTAGCCGGATACGTCGACAAAATTCCTTTTTTTTTTTCATTTCTTGTGTATGTATACAAGTATACAACCAATTATAGATGATTATCGCCAATAATTTTACATGTGAAAATCCAGTGTATATGTAATATAAAACTACATAAATATATTTAATCGAATCATAGAAATACTTAGGGTGATTCACCAAATATATTGTTTTTCAATAATAATTGAACATGAAATTACGGAATTTTTAACTTACTAACACATGTATATAAAGTATAAGTGAATATTACATACGAATTAAAAAGAAATAAAAATGTTTTGATAAAAAATATTTAATTTTCTTCTACCTGTTTTATATTCGCACTTGAATTTTCGTTTTGCAGTATCCTATTTGTTAATTTTATTTAAACTCCTTTCTCTAAAAATTAGAAGGTAAGGATTTAACTTAATCAAAAAATGTTGACAATTGCAGTACATCTAACACAAAAATGCATTTTATATTGGTAACAGTATGAATTTTAGATAACACAAGCCAATAATACGAATAGTATCTTCATTGATACTCGTAAATCATAATTAAACGCTCGGCAATTAAAGGCAAATACAAATTGAACGGTTAAAAAGTTTAGAAGACATTGAGTTATAATATTTAAAAGGGTATTGTTTAAAAGTTTAAAACGTTGGTTAATTTTTAATTGCGAGTTCAGTTAAAATATTTAGCAACACATTAAAAATCTAATCTCCGTAATTGCATAACTGCATAAAAAGTTAACAAAGATATGCGATCTTAGGTTTATTTTTCCTTTTACTAACTAAACTTAATGAACCATATAAGCTGTTCTCAATCATTATTATTAAAGTTATCGATATTAAGTTTTATTATAAAATCTATATTAATAATTTATGTAGGCTAGAATTGCTTGGATGTCTAATTTATAAATATCTTCTTTTCTTTGGGATTCATCAGCATTTTTAAAATTATTTTTAGTGACCTAAATATCATTCTACCCCGCACCACCTGTGTGCGATTTCGTCGTAATTTCGCATTATTTCGTAGGATGGAAATACACGTCATGTAAAAAGTACATACAATCCTATTAAATTTATTCGATAAATACGACAATACCTAAAACCTATGATTTTTTTATTTCACATAATATTTATAATGGGTATTAAAATAAATAATTAAAAAATCATAGACAATGGCCACAGCACAATAAACAAATACCATTACTGCAGCACTGGTACATATAATATTATAATACATACATTATTATTGAAACCGAATTCTTTATATAATATGTTCTACGTTCAGCTTCAAATATATTTCTCATTCTAGTGCGGTGTCGAGCGTTAGGACAGATGGTTTGTTCGATTACAGTATATTATTTTTACATGGCCATATATATAAATAATATTTTATTAAATACGTCTGATAATATAATATTAACAATATCGTATTATATTTAATATAATATACAATAGAAAATACTGCAAAGGACACAAATTGTGTATAAAGACAAAATTGGGGATCAGTAGAAGAAATTATGTTTGTACAACTAAAATCGCTCAACCGTTGTACTCTCAAATACATATATATATATAATTATACCTTTAGTGTCACCGTATATATATTTACATATAATTATACATACCACATAAATGCTTAAAACGACACTACACGAATGAGTTAAG